TACACTGAATTTTTTTAAAGTCCGGAATTTCTTTAAAATCAAAGTGGGGTGTTACATGATCATTGTTTTTGTTATCACAATTTAGTTTTGTAATGTCTTCCTTTTTGCGTCACTCTATTTGGAAAATAACTTGAATTTGCTATAACACATTATGATCAATTTTTTATTGTTGATTATAAAGCTAACCAACTATGTTAGAATGTTTCGTTGTTTATTATTTTGATTATAGTGGTTGCAAATTCAATTATATTTTTTATTATAATATTTCATAATAATTAGATAGATATTTTCTGTATGAATATAATGACATAAGAGATGAATAAATATTTGAAAATATTTTTGAAGTCATAATTATTTCAAAAAGAGAAAATTTACTTGGAAAAAATTAGGAACAATAACACCTTTGATTGATTAAAGGTGCTTATCTATCTATATATATTGTTGATTGAAGGTGGGTACCCATCTATTTATATTGTCATGCATAACCTCTCCTAACGTTGTCATGCATGCATTATCATTTTCATACATGGATTTTCAAGACTATCCTAAATGTGAAAAATAAATAAATCCAGTTCAAATGAATTATGAAATGGTGATTCTTTAATTTTTACTTTTATCTTAATATTATTTTTATATCTTCGTCTATATTTTTATATAATTTATTTCTCTACTTTTGAGAAGTGAATTAAAACATTTAATTTGTGAATGATTCACTCCCCGAAACCGTAATTAGCTGCCGTAGTTATTTTGTTTTATTTTTATAATTACTCTAATTTTATCTATATTACAATTAAAGTAAACGGTAGATTAATTTATGTAGCACATTTTATCATAAAAGAACATGTTACTATACATATTAATAGGTAAGATTAAATCATATTATGCAAATTGTTTTAGTGAATAATTTAAAAAATATATTTCTATTGGAATTATATATTTTTCACTAACGAATATTTTTTTTTTTTTTTTTCATAAATGACATTTTGTATATATGTTGAAGAATTATTTTTTATTCAGTCATTCTTAACTTTTGCATGTTCCTTATATTTTTGTTGTTTAATTTTTTTAATACTATATCCAAAAGTCTCATAGTAATTAATATGATATGTGAAAATAGAGATGATATATTTGAAACATTTAATTTGTGAATGTTTTTATAAATAAGATGATTAATGACAATAAATTTAAAGTAAATATATTATTTATTTTTATCAATAGATTTTAATTGTAACTATAACTTTTGCTAATAAGTACACGTATAGATTTTAGTTATTTCATTTTATTTTTATATATATTTCAATTAAAGTAAATGGTAGATTAATTTATATAACACATACTATCATAATAGAACATTCATACTATACATATGTAAACAAAATATTTCTATTATGATTATATATTTTTACTAACGAATATCTTTTTTTCACATAAATGACATTTTGTATGTTGAAGAATTATTTTTTACTCAATCATTCTTCACTAAATTTTTACTGTTTTATTTTCTTATTATTATAAGCAAAAGTCTACAATAAACATTATGAAATTTGGAAATTAGAGATGATACTTTCATTGGTGCATTAAATATTCTACACTTATTAAATAAAATAAATTTTATTTAAAAATCTTAAAATAATATTTTCTTTCACATTTAAAAACTATCTTTAAAATAACCAAATCGAAACCTCACATCATATCTAGATTAATTCTGAATAATACAATTAAGAATAAAATATTTATTTAAAATTTCTTAATTTGCGTAGATAATCATTTTGTATGTGTAAAAACTTAAAGATATAATTATGTATAATAAATAAAAAGATAAGAAGTAAATTAATAAGTGGAAGTTTAAAAACTTAACAAATGTTGTTAGTTGTGACGTTCTAACATTAATAACAAAATTACATTGATAACCTTAAACCTTATCTTTACTAAGGGCATTATTGGCAATTCAAAAGTTTCAAGAAACAACTCTTCCTTTTAAGATAGTTATTATATTATTATTATTATTATTATTATTATTATTATTATTATTATTATTATTATTATTATTATTATTATAGTTTATAGATATAGATTATAGATATAGATGGGTTGAGTGAGTTACTTGAGTACCTCAGGTGATTGCTAATAATGTTACCTGACTAGCTACAGTCTTTCCTAAATGATCCAAAGTATACTTAAATGATGCATGCAAGTGCAGGGCCAAACTACAGTGATAAAATATATATATATATATATATATATATATATATATATATATATATATATATATGTCAAGAAACATGAAAAATCGAGCAGAGAATAGAGAACTCATACACCTCCTTATCGATTCTTGCATAATCTAACAACCTCATGCAAAAAATTCCCCATAATGCCTAGAATGACACTATCAGTGAAGCATTTCACCTTACTTTATGGAGCAACCCATTAAAAATAATCCAATTAATATGTCCCAATAATAAACAGCCATCTGACTTTATGTATCAAGGGGTAAAAAGAAGCTTGAGAAGCTTGTATAGCTGTACACCGTTATTTGCGTTGGGATTAAAAAAATCACATAAATTCAGGGAAGCTGTTATGCCATTGCCCGAAACTGACAATCAGATAGGCAACATTGAATTGTTTACAAGAATTTATGCAAGGAGCTGTCATGGCCATCATTCATACTTATAAACTGTGATTGTAGGAACTAGTTCAAATTTGAGCAAAGCTAGTAGCATCAAAGACTTGTGGACATGGAAACCATGTTCTAACCTGTGTGTCTTCAGCTTTTTCCTAAAAATATCAGAACTCTCAGAAGGCTGGTTTCCTGGTACCATAAAGAAGTATTAGCCACCAAAAACAACACACAAGTCATCCTCAGAACCTTAAAAAGTTATGAAGTAAATGAACAGCTCACTTGTTTGCCTGGTCAACACAGTCCCAAAGCTTCGAGCTGGTAAGTGGTTATCTGTCACATCCTCCTGCTAAACAGCAACGATCACAGTACATTTATCAAGCCAAGCCAAAAGATAACAAAGCCAAAATGAAGAATAATTTCTTACATCTGTGGCATTCAGTTGTCGCATTGAACGTGTAAGAAACTTCTTGTACGCTGTTGTTAACTTTTCAACTGGTTGAGCTTTCCTGGTATCCATAAGAAACAGATCAATCAAGTTTCTTAGAAGAACTAAAAAATAACTGGGCAAGTTTTTGCTTTAAAATAGTAGGATTTGATGAATTGCTCAATGAAAAGAGGTTGTTATCGTAAATATGGTATAAATTAGATTGTAGTAGGTGATATGGTAAATCCCTTAGATGAGGTGTTTTGATTATTTTTTTTTCTTACATCTCTTTTGGCTTGTATATATATCTTGTAACCCACATTGAGTTAATAGAGGGGCCTATTTAGGCCCTATCGCTCCCCCTACTATAGGGGAGTAATTGCACTCTCCCCAACTATAGGGGAGTGCTTGGAGTTAATCCTTATGTTTTGTGCTGATTACATGGTATAAGAGCCAAAATAAAGTTGGGTTTTTTGAAATTTTCTAATCAAATCTTTGGTGTTTAGAGCAGACACTCAGGTGAGTTTCGGGTCTCACCTCCTGTATCGTCGGACTCGTCATCGCCGGACCAGCCGTCCAGTGAAGTATCGCCACCAGCTTCTGCATGTGTGAAGTACACACGCTGTCCCACCCACCTGCCGACTGTCTCACGCGCCGGCGCGTGTCTGGCCGGAAAATTTTTGGCGAACATCCGTCTGCTTGGAATTTCTCAGGCTTTTTGTTGGTATTTTGAGTTTCGAGTTTAAGTGACTCCTTGGTGTGCAGGTTGAATCTTTTAATTTCAGCCCTTTGTTAAAATTGGTTCATTTGCTCGGACACAATCTTGTTCTTATGGCTGCAAATAAAATTGTGTCAGAAATCGTCCCTATTTATTTATGAATAAAATCACCGATGTTAAATGAATGGTTCTAATTTCCTTGGTTGGAGACATTGTCACTATTTCTGTTGTGAAGTATTCTCGACTTACTGCAACAGAGAAACCTTCTTCACCCGTTGTTGTCTTTGCTGACACAGGAAATTCCGCTACATGCCTCATATCTAAAGGCACCAGATAGGTCATTGATTCAGGTGCGTAAGATCATATGATATGACAGGTAACCCAAACCTTTTTTCCACCCTTGACCCCTATACACCTTCTTCTCATGTCACTATTGCTGACGTGTCTACTACTCGTGTCCTTGGTTCTGGTTCAATTAATCTTACTCCTTCTATCTCGTTACACTTTGCTTTGAACCTACTCTCTGTTAGCCAACTTACTAAATCATTGATATGTAGCATTTTTTTCTTTCCGAACCATTTTATTGTGCAAGATCTTTCGAAGCAGATCCTTGGTGAAGGATGTGAATCTGATGACCTCTATGTTTTCGACTCTCCCACATCTAAGTCACTTGTTTGCAACCCCTCCTCCGCCTAGATACTCATTGTCGTCTTGGCCATCCTTCCCTCCAATTGAAAAGATTGGATCCTCAGTTTCAAGGTTGTCATCCTTATTTTGTGAGTCTTGTCAGTTTGCTAAATATTGTCGTAGTTCTTTATCGCCTGAATAAACACAAGGGTTACGACTGTATTTAGGTTGGTTCACTCTGATGTTTGGGGCCCTTGTTCTGTGTCGTCAAAATTTGGTTTTAGATATTTTATAACTTTTATTGATGATTTTTCTCGTGTCACTTGGATACTTTATGAAAAGTCTTTAAGTTTTTCAACATTTTTTGTCCTTTAGTGTCATAATTAAAACTCAATTTCGTGCCAAAATTAAAACTCAATTTCGTGCTACCATTCAAACACTTCAAAGTGATAATGCGAAAAAAATTTTTGTCTGCAACTTTCAGTCTTATATGCTTAAAAATGGAATTTTGCATGAAACTGTTGGAAAATTGAATGAATGTGTAACCTAAGGATTAAAGTTTTGAAACCTTTAAACTTGTGACTTAGTTTTAATAACTTAGTTTAATGTTTCATTGTTAACTCCTACTTTAATGCCAAAATTAATTGTCTAGTTTTCCTAGACCTATATAAAGAGATGTCTTCTTTGAGGGAGAGGAGAGATACAAAAAAGAAGAAAATAAAAGAATTCTTAAAGTCCCTGTCCCCATTTTTATGTTAAAGTGTTTTGGTCCAGGCATAGTTCCAATACGCTGAATTTGATTTGGTTTTTCCGTTGTATCCTGGGAAACAACGCTCATACATGGTGAATCTGTTTTAAGGACACTTTGTTTTCACATGCCTCGATATTATATTAAATAGTCATCTTAATTTTATTTTCCAGATAAAGTTCCCCACAGAAACATCGTGTATTGATACACCAGCTCAAAATGGGATTGTTGAACATAAAAATTGACACCTCCTCGAGGTTGCTCGAGCATTACTCTTTCACATGCATGTTCCTAAAACTTTTTGGGTTGATGTTGTGTCCACTGCTTGATTTTGTAATCAATCGAATGCCCTTGACTGTATTTGGTAATTCAATTCCATTTTCAGTGCTTTTCCAAGATAAAACCCATTTTTCCTATACCGCCTAAAGTTTTTTGGTGCACTTGTTTGTCCGGGATACACGACCTCATATCACTAAGTTAGATCCTAAGTCTCAAGTTTATTTTCTTCGGCATTCCAGAGTGTAGAAAGGGGTTGTTTCTTTTCTATCCTTGGTCGTTATGTCGTGCCTAGGGATGTTAAGTTATAATGAACACCTTACATTTTTTCCTACCCGAGAGCTTCCATCACTAGGCCCTCTTCCCCTCCGCCTCAGAGAACTCGGAAGCCCATTACACAGACATATACTCGACGCTCTCAATCACATCGCGAGGTATCATAGATTCAGATTCACATCCTTTGCCTGCTGCTCCGGTGGAAGACCCTGTGCCCAGTCCAACCTCTACACATGTCCCCGAACCAAATAACCCTAATGACCTTCCTGTTGCACTTCGCAAAGGTAAAATATCTAGCACTTACCCTATTGCATCTGTTGTGTTTTATGACAAGGTGTCTACTTCTTCAAGTTCTTTTGTTGCCATGTTAGACGTTATCCATGTTCCCATCTGTTGGTGCTACTTTTGCTCATCCTGGATCGCGTGCTGCTATGATTGAAGAAATGAATGCCCTTGATATGACACATGGTCTTTAGTGGACTTAGCTGTTGGCAAAAAGGTAATTTGATGCATTGTTAAAGTTAATCATGATGGCTCTTTGGCACGTCTTAAAGCTTAACTTGTAGCTAAAGTATATGCTCAGACTTATGGCACCGATTACTCTGAGACTTTCTCTCTCGTGGCTAAACTTACCTCTGTCCGGCTGCTCATCTCTCTTGCAACCTCTTCTGACTGGCTTCTGCACCAACATGACATTAAGAGTGCGTTTCTCCATGGCTTTCTTCAAAAAGAGGTTTATATGGAGCAACTACCTGATTTTGTTGCTCAGGGAGAGTATGGGAAGGTATGTCATCTTCACAAGTCTATGGGTTAAAGCAAAGTCCCCGAGCTTGGTTCGATAGATTTAGCCAGATTGTTTTGAAATATGGGTTGGTGAGATGTAAATCTGATCAGTATTTTATATGCGATCAAGGCTTGGGATCATTTTATTAGTTGTGTGTCGATGATATTGTTATTACAGAGAATGATAATGATGAGGTTTCAAACCTAATATCCTTCCTCAATCAGAATTTTCAAACAAAGAACTTGGGACACTTGAAATACTTTCTGGGAGTAGAGATAATGAGAAGTAACAGAGGGATTTTCCTTTGTCAGAGGAAGTATATGCTAGATCTTCTTAAAGAAACTGGAAAAGTTGGGGCAAAACCATGCAACACTTCGATGACACCAAACATGCAGTTAGAAAAGGATGATGGTGAGCCATTTCATGATCTAGAACGAAATCGAAGACTTGTAGGAAAGCTAAACTAACTCACCCATGGGCGAAACTAGAAAATTAGTTGAGAGGGGGCAAAAGACATGACATAATGGTTTCAAAATCGAACCCTAATGGGTTCAGAACCGATAACATTCCGGTAACCGATTTTCGATTACCGTTATACATAAGTCAGTTCAGTTCGGTTTATTTTCTCATCGATTCGGTTCGGTTTACTTTCTCATCAGTTCGATTCGGCTTCCAATAAAAAAAATATCAGCCTGGCCATTAATAAAAGAGAGTTGAAGTCTTTTATATGGCTAATTAAAATTGTAGAATGATAATAATTAATATACAACTTAATAGTAAAACAAAAGAAGTGTTGAATTATTAATTAATATTAAAATAAAAAGTGATGAATTGTTTATTGATAATTGCGGACAAGTTGGCCCTTGTGAGTAACATTTAAAAACAAAAAATTTGGGGGTGCAAAAATAAAATTAAAGGAAGGCAAATTAAAATTTTTAATATTAATAGTAAAAGAATTAAAATTTGAGGGGGGCAGTTGCCCCCTACTAATACATGTAGCTTCGCCCATGATCTCACCGTAACATGCCCTGATATATCCTTTGCAGTTGGTGTAGCAAGTCGATTTATGTCTTCTCCGACCGTTAGTCATTGGACACTTCTTGAACAAATTTTGTGCTACTTGAAGGGGGCTCCTGGACGGGGATTGTTCTATGGGCGACAGAGTTATCAAAAGGCCAGGGCAGTAGAAACATATTGTGATGCCGACTACGCAGGTTGCAAAGAAAATAGAAGATCGACTTCTGGAGACTGTATATTTGTGGGAGGCAATCTAGTTTCGTGGAGAAGCAAGAAGCAAAATGTTGTTTCTTGTTCAACAGTCGATGGCTTATTCAATATGTGAGGTTGTATGGATACATCAGTTACTAAAGGAGCTTAGATTAGAACTTGCTCTCCCAGCAACACTTTGATGTGACAACCAAGCAGCAGGTTGCATCAAATCCTGTATTTCATGAACGGACCAAACACATCGAGATAGATTGCCTCTTTGTTCGTGATAAGGTCGAAGAAGGTTTCGTCATGTCAAGTCTGAGGATCAGTTAGAGGACATATTTACAAAAGCAGTAAATGATGTAAGAATGAAAAATATTTGTAACAAGCTGGGCATAACTGATATATATATATATATATATGTGTGTGTGTGTGTGTGTGTGTGTGTGTGTGCTCCAGCTTGAGGGGGAGTGTTATCATAAATATGGTCCCACCCTTTCATTTCTTACATCTCTTTTGGCTTGTATATCTTGTAATCCTCATTGAGTTAATACATCAAAAAACAACATCACAGAGGTTAAACAACAACACGAAAAGATTTCTACTCAATGTAGAAAACTTATTTTGCATTAACTAGATAAAATGTGAACAAGAATCAACTCCTATATATAGGGACATGGCGTGGACATCAAAGCAAACAATGCTTGAGTTATTAACGAAAATGTTTCTAACTACCAATGTGTACATTAATTTACTCATGAAGCAAATGATTTGTTATGATTTATGAATATTTCTTCCACAAATTCATTTTGCATAAGGAAAAATAAAAGAAGGAAAGGTGTTTGTTAAGTTTATTTAGGCACATATATTAAGGTCCATATACCAAAGGCCATATGGCCATGAGAAACTTGATATGTTGTCACCTCTATGACATGCATCATATTACATGCATTTTGAGTGATAAATTGATTGGTTGTACTTATTGTTGGATCATGCACTGTTTCCCTTTTCTTTCTCTTTATTAATCTATGATACCACATTCATTCTTTCATATTATCCTCTTCATCCTTAGCCAAAAAGGCATCATCTCTTGGTCATCTATCGGGTCTCGTATGTCTACATTAATTAGTAAAGGTTGCTTAAGTCATACATCTATCAAGTTTCTATTTTATTGTAAGGATTGCAAGCTGGCAAACAGGTATACCTCTCATATTCTACCAGTGTTTCTCATTCTTCTCATTCTGTTAGATCTTTTAATCTTATTCATTCAAATGGTTGCGGTCCCACCCTTTTTGCTACATAGGGCGTTTAATTAAAATGTCGGAGGACCTCCAATTTGCGGCGCACAAACTACCTACCAAACAAGCAGCACATAACCCACATTCGTCCTCGGCACAATTCACTGCTCAACCTCTCTCCATTGGGCCTCAACCTCAAGCCCAAACCACCCTTCACTCTCTAAGGCCCAATCCTTCTGGAATTTTCTAAAATGTTGGAGGACCTCCAGTTTGCCCTCATCGGCAAATTCTCCTTCGGCAAACCTTCAAACGAGGCAATCCAATCAAACCTTTCCCTCTTGGACTTGGACTTCACTAGTTGGAAAGATCTTTACCTAAATGCAAACCACATTCTCAAAAAAGTTGACATCCAAAAACCCCCTCTTGAAGACTCGTTTCGATATCGGCATGGTGTATTAAACAATAACAAGGCCTAACATTGCACATACTTCGGTTCATTTTGGTCGTTTGCTTTGTGTGTTGATATACTTAAGGAAAATTGTCTTAATGTACGTTTTATGCTCGTGATAGTCCAATTCAACTTCACACTTACTCGGACTCCACTTGAGTGAGTGATCCAATAGATCGTCTTTTTCTCACTGGTTACTGCATTCTGCTCGGTTTTTCTCATTTAACATGAAAGTCTAAGAAGCAGACAATTGCATCTAGATCTAGTAAAAAGGCAATACTTCAAGCATTTGCTATCACCACTTCAAAAATTGTTTGGCTTCGATGGTTGTTAGTTGATTGTGGTATTCAGCGACGCCCCCACACCTCTTCTTTTTGATAATGTTGGAGCCTTACTAATTGTCAATATTCCTGTGAAGCACGAACTTACTAGCAAAATGCTTCTTTTGCCCATTATCGACTTCACTTGCTTAAAATCTGCTTCAGATCCTCCAATTCCACCTTGAAACTGAAGGGCGTGGTTGAATAATATTAATGCAGTAGGCATAATGGCTCATGGAAGACTCTATATATTGCCATCTAACTGGAGATCTAGTCTTTCAGAATCTCTAAGGTTCATAACATGTTTAACAAGGAATAAATAGTGCATAACTAGTACTTAAAATAACAGTAATCTGAAATTTAGGTTTCCAGTCCAGAGCTACTCTCTTCATCAATGCGTGCCGACAAAACCATGTGTAACCGGAGTTATGTGCATATGTTCCAGAAGAGATGAGCTCCAAAAAGATGAAAACAAAGTGCTTTACTAATCAACATAGAAATTTTCATATAAACCACTGTCTCTATCACATACACACAAGACAACCCCCAAAAAAAAATTGACAGAGAAAAACTGAGACTTACATAGATAGCCCGCGGTTAAAGATGTCATTTGCAGTTTTATTTTTATTCTTGTGTTCCATGTGGAGTGCATAGGAGATGTAAAATGATGCATGTGTCACTCCAATTTTGTTTGCCTCCAAAAAAATATATAAGACTTCAGCATCAACACAATTTTCAGCCTGTTTTACCATTTCACATAAGCAGCCATGATTAGAGTTGACCACAATTGATATGTGTGATATGGGAAAAACAAAGAAGACACTTACATATTCCAACCACACTTTCAGATACCGAAGATCAGCCTTGTAACAGTCTTCATGCCAAAATGTGCGTACACATTGTTCATAAATCAAAACTAACCCTGAGCAATCACCACCAGGAGGAAAGGCTTCCTGAACCCATTTGATACACCTTTGAAAATTTAACAAATTCAGGGAAAGGAAAAGGGGAAAGGAACATCGGGTGTACTCAGTAATCTGTAGTGTCAATTGAGTAGACAATGCCTAAATTACATGACAAGAAACTGACAATAATCTAGATAATGGTTTATATGACCAAAATATCATCAATATTGATTCAATTAGCAGCTTATATGACCAAAATATCATCAATATTGATTCAATTAGCAGCTTATATGACCAAAATATCATCATTATTGATTCTATTAGCAGCTTATATGACCAAAATATCATCAATATTGATTCAATTAGCAGCTTATATGACCAAAATATCATCATTATTGATTCAATTAGCAGCTGATCTTTTAGTGCTGTTTTAGTTCTTGACGTCATGTCTTTCCAATCTTAGATGCAAAATACATATTTTACCTAATTAAGGCCTTCACGGTCAAATCAGAAGTACACCATCCCCTGTTGTATATAATTGCTTTTACAGCAAGTCCAAAAAATGCACAGAAATTACACCAATTAAAACCTCATCGCACATCCAAAAAAGGTAGCTTGCAAGTGGTTTCAGGGTAGCCAAAGTTTTCATATTCACTAATACTGTTCAAGAGACATTTTAAGTATATAAGGTAAATGGAGTTCTCAGCAAGTCCAGTAACAAAAGGCAGTAAAGACTAATAAGTTGAATTCCTTCACTTCAATTCCTTTTTTTGTGACTCAGCTAATAGATTGAATTATTTGACGGTAAGAGTGCTTCATGCAAATGCTAGTAATTGTTCAAACAAGTTCAAATGCAACAAGACCTTTTCGAGTTAATTGTACTTTCAAAATTTTGCTTCTTGTTGAGCTTATTATATTTCATGCTTTGAAAGTGTGCAAGTGCATTTTGAGACAAGTAATTAATACTGTTAGAATATCACTTGTGAGTTGTCCCACATCGTTCACACATAGAAAATAGACCCACCTTATAAGTCTAATGGGCTACTCCTCCTTTCACCAATTGGTTTTGGGATGGAACCTCATTTGGGCTTCATATGGGCTTTCCTTTTCCCCCAATTTCTTACAAATACCAATAAACATGATAGATAATCACTGCTAATCACATAGTATATGATTAGTTTTGCTAAACACTGCTTGAAAACATGTCCCTATTTATTTTATCCCACCTAAACCTGAAGCATCATAAACACAAACCACTATACGATTTCCTAGAACAAAAGCAATCTGGCCACAAAAGGTACATACCCACAACCAAAAATATTTCTGCAGCACGGAAATTGAACAGTCGGACAGAACAAACAAAAAAAATCCTAAAATCTACCAGAAAACAAGCTGAGGCTCAATCTACGATACAACCCAAGAAACTACACAGGCTACAGTTACTCACTCAATCCAAGGCTGAAGAGGGTCTTCTCCATTATAATCATCAATCGCCTCGATTAATCTCCTGATCACTCAAAAAACATAAACACAAACAATCAACTCTTCATATACCCAACACAAACGAATCAATTAATCTAAAAATACTGGGGAAAAAAAGTCAGGCTCGTCAAACAGAACCTAACACAAACGAATCAATTAATCTAAAAATACCCAAAAAAAAAAGCAAGAAATGCTCGTCAACAGAACCTCCGGTGTTGGAGAAGCGAGTTCCTGAGTTGCGAATCGGAGTGCGATTTCAGGGCGCCGTTGAGGAGGCCAACGTTGCGGCCGCGCTTCAAGGGGCGGACATTTTCTTTGAAGAGCTCCCACTCGTTTCCGGTCTCCTGCTTGGACGCTAGAAACTCCGTCTCCGGGTCTAAAACCGCCGCGGTCGGCCCCTCTAATCGGCGGCTCTCCATTGTTTTCCTCCGATTTCTTTTTCCTTTGGTTCTGTATTTTTTTTTTTTTTTTTTTTTTTTTTTTTTTTTTTTTTTTTTTTTGTCTTCCTCTCTCTATCTGATTTCTGAGTACTGAATTTGAAATTTGAATGTTCGAGTGACTATTTATTAGAATATTTTTCGACCCGTTGGGAAGGGAAATGAATTGGGCCAACCAGTTGAAAGTGGGCCTTAAGGAGTCAGGAGGGTTGACTGGCTAGCGGAATTCAATTCAATTCGACCAGACTTATATAAATTGTTTATAAGACTACCAATAACAACAACCACTAAGAGACCTGGTGTGTCCAGGTGGAAAAAAACAAAAAAAAAAAAAA